TCGGCAGCCTCTCTCCCGCTTCCGGGTTTGGAGGGGGTGGGGCCACGTAGTGAGGAAGGGGCGGGGCTCCGGTGGTCACCATGGCGACGGGCCCAGTGAGAGCGTCCCCGCGCTCAGGCTGCTTCCCCGGCTCGGCGGCGCGGGGAGGAGGTCCCAGTTGCCTCGGGGGCGGCTCTGGGTCACCCGTGTAACGTGGGAGAGGTTATGGGAATGGAAGGAGGGGTCGTCGAGCCCCTGGGACCTGCCCCTGCCTCCAGTTCGCGCCCTCCTGGAGGAAGCAGTTCCCCCTGCCTCGAGTAGCGCGTTGAGGGACCCCTTTGAGTTCAGGCTTGGGTGAGCAGGGCTTTGCATCTTTTCTGAGCAAGTTTTTTGTTTGTTTGTTTCTCCCCCTCCCCGCCCCCCGTTGGCACAGCTACAAACGCCCTCCATAGCCCTCCACTGTAACCTGCCCACTTCTCTTTCCAGGTTTGTGCTGACGTTCTGAGGTCTTTCTGGGAACCGCTCCTTCGCCACTTTCCCTTAAATAAAGAATATTGATATATTTATCATCATTTTTCTTAAGCAAGATGTTGCAGATGCCACGACTTTTTGAGTAAAATATTTGCTGAAAGAATAAGATTGAATAACAGCTTGTACTCTGTTTAAATGCCTTTGCATTTTAGATTTACGCCAGGCAACTGTTTATGGGATTTAGGTTAGGGGAGAATCCTAGTACATTGCATCCTTAGTTATGACCTCTGCCCTCTCAGGAGCTTTGGGTCCCGGTGTAGAACTTGGACGAATTCCAATAACATTTCCCAAGGGCATAGTAACACATTTGCAACATTCCTGCCCCCATCCCCTCTTTTGGAATTTCAAGTCAGTCATAGGAAGCAGCCTTTTATTATAAGCACCAACCACATAGGTGTGCAGGTCATGTTCCCATTGAAGATTTTTAAACTTTGGACTAGTTTAATGAACTGGCAAATCATTGGTTGTATGTAAACCCATTATGGGTGCTCATCACATTATTTATCTGTCCAACTGTGTGGGGAGCTTTAATTTAGGGAAAAGGGGGAAAAGGGGGCAGAGTGATTCAACCAGTACCTTAGCAAATGATCAGGCTCACAATAGGCACTAAAAGGATATTGAATGAATTAAAGAGAGAATAAATAAATCTATCCATATATATTTCCAAAACTGTAGTCCTTAGATCCCATACCCAGACCTCACTTTAGTAACAGCCTTAATATATATGCCCAAATATATTAGAAATCCTTATTCTGTTAGTTTGGTAATAATAATGTTTAACTTGACTTGATAATGAAAAACCACTTCACCATGTAATTATGTTTTGTTATATATATACTTCTTTTTAAAATGTAAAAGGTCAAACTCAAAATGTTTTGTTTCCCTTACAAAAGGACCCCACGGTCATGTTTGGACCCTCAGTTACTCCAGAGTACATGGCAAGCACATTTTCTGTTCCCTAATCCGAATGAGGAACCTGTAATATCTGTGAATTTCAGCTGTCCTGTAATTGCACAACTGCAAAGAACAAACTTTTGATCCAGGGCAGGCCACAGCACAGACAGACCTGGTGTTTAAGGCTGTGAGGGTTTGCAGCTGTCATGGCTGGGTCTGCCAGATGGTTCCCACAGCACCAATCCCTGTGTGAGAATTTCACTTAAAAACTGGAATGTTCATAAAATATTCTGCAAATACCAAACAAAGTAAACAGATGGCCAGCTGGCTGTCAGAATTGCCTAACCCCATGCTCTAGTCCTCAAATTGATCTCTTGACAGGATTTGTTTTAAAACACACATGCACAATAATCCTAGATATATCTTGAATGCATGTATACACAACAAACAGAACAGTGGTTACCTCTG